GACCCTCTAACCCTAAACCCTAACCCCGACCCTAACCCCAACCCCCCCGACCCTCACCCTAACCCAACCCTACCCCTGACCCTCTAACCCCCAACCCCTCCCCCTAAACCCCAACCCCTACCTTTACATAACCCTAACCCCCTGACCCTAAACCTTTCCCCTAACCCCAAACCCTAACCGCTAACCCTGACCCCTAACCCCCAACCCTGACACCCTAACCCAACCCTAACCCCTAACCTACCCCTCACCCTCACCCCCTAACCCTAACCCTACCCTCACCCCTAACCCAACCCTAAACGTCACCCTAACCCTACCCCAAACCCTTAACCCTAACCCCTCACCCTAACCTAACCCCCAACCCCAACCTGACCCCTAAACCCTAACCCCTAGACCCTGACCTGACCCCCACCTCCAACCTAACCCCTGACCCTAACAACCCTAACCCTACCCTAACCCCCTGACCCTGACCCTAACCCACCCCTCACCCTCAACCCCTACCCCAACCCTAAAACCTAACCCTAACCCCAAGCTAACCCCTAGTCCTAGCCCCTAACCCTAACCCCCAACCTAAATCCTAAAACCTGATCTTAACCCTTTAACCCTAACCCTCACCCATAACCTCGCCCTCACCCTAAACCCTCACCCCAACCTTAACCCTACCCCTATCCCCTACCCTACCCTAACCCAACCCCATAACCCTACCCCTAACCCGACCCTCACCCCCTAACCACAACCTCCTAAACCCTCTAACTCTGACCCCAACCCCAAAACTTACTCTACCCCAACCCCTCACCCTAACCCCTACCCTCCCCCGACCCTAAATCCTCACCCTCACCCCCTAACCCTCACCATTAATCTAACCCTGACCCTAAACCCTAACCCGACCCCAACCCTAACCCCTCAACTCTACCCTAACCCTACCCTCACCCTAAACCCTAACCCAAATCTAACCCTAACCCAGCCCCTGCCCCAAACCTAACCTCTCACCCTCACTCTAATCCACAACCCTCACCCTACAACCGCCACCCTAAATCCTAACCCTCAACTCAACCCTACCCTCTGACCATTAACTCTAATCCTCACCCCTAAACTAAAACCTAACCTCATCCACCTCTCCTAGAGACGAGGAGCTGCATCTCCAGGGGCTCCTCACCCCCTTCCCAGGCCAGATACTGCAGGGGAAGGAGCAGAGATCACTTGCTCAGCGGATGGGTGAGGGACTAGAGCCATGCGCAGCTGCTGGGCTCTTTGCTCCCTTCTCCCCCACCTTGTGAAAACAGCAAGGGGAAGGGTGAGACTGCTGGCTTTTGGAAGACTGTACTTTGTATAGGGGGGGACTGGAAATCATCTGAAATCCCAGCACTAGCCAAAAGAATACCCAAAATACAAGTTGGTAATGCTGCATACTAAACGCTGGGGGAACCCGGCTGAATGGACGGAGCCCATATATACGATGAATATGAGGGCTGTTGGGAGGTAATCCACCTCTCTGAATTTCTCCCCCCGTTCCTCCTTTGGTTATTTGCTCAGGAATGGTGATACAGAACCCCCAGTTGCAATGAATGTCTCAGGGTGGGCTGGGCTCTCCCCCAGTAACCAAAGATGCAATCTCCATCCAATAGATCACACTGTGCAGCACCAACACCAAGAGAGCCTGAAACATTTTCTATCCCATCCTGGGCCTCTCAACTTGTCACCAAAGCAAAATCTGCTACTCACATTGTTGCTAAGCAGTTGCTTTCCCCGTCATGCTCAGAGATGGCTGCATATCAGCACTGGGTGACAGATCTCTGTATAAACAGGTACACATGAGCACACAACAGTTTGTGCACAACATCTGTGAAGGAAAACAGGCCATGCAAGCCAATAATTTATTAAACCTTCATTTTGTAAAGCCAGTTACAAATTAAAAAAAGAAAGCAGAAATAAATCTGTAATAGAAATGAGTATGTCAGAACAAGAAGTGAGGGGTGTTAACATTCCCAACTGGGTTCAAGCTGCCTGCAGCTACCCAAGAGCTAGACTATAGCAGTAGGGCAGGAGAAATTAGAGCTATGGTTAAATATATTAAAAGACTCCATTCAGTGTATTTGACCAAATATGCAATGTGACCAGTGTTATTTTGTCTATCTCCTCTGCTTTCCTGACCGTTTGAAGTTGCCACCTGGTCATCTGTTTATTATGGAAGTGACAAAAAGGGGCTCTTGTAAGACTCATCAATAAGGCTTCTTAAGGCAAAATTCCAGTTTAAAAAAATGTAATGTCAACCCTGTACGTGCTTAGCCTAGTGACAGGTGTGTGCATGTTGCAGAATGGTTGGGGGATAGGGGGAGGAGAAATATGCCAACTATACTAGTCCTGTTTTCTGTGACAACAAATTGTTCTCTTTGGGTTTTGCTAAAGCCCCATGGAGTGGAAGGAAGGAAGGAACTTTACTGGTAAAGGAGCCAGTTACAACTGAGTGGCATGTGAAGTTCTTGCTGGAATGAGTGGCGGTCTTTCCTGTTAGACTAGAGTGGAAGGAAGGGTAGTTCATCTGCTTAGTAAGAGCCACCACTTTTTCTAAGGCGACTGTCCCTCCCTCCAGGGCATCCTAAAAGCCTAAATGTAAATAAATCGTATGGCAGGACCCAAGTCACTACATTTAAAGTGATGAATTTGAACTCAAATTGGGGGTGGGGGCTGAAACAGCTGATTCCTTATAAATGCAACTAAATGGCATTCATGCCCCCAGGAATAGACAACCCTTCACTTTTCAACCAGGGCTGTTTAGAATGTAGTTTGAGCTGAACCTGAGTAGGATCCATTTCAGACAGCCCACCCCTGTCCTTGAGAGAGAACCATGCAAACACATTCCTGTTCTCTGGCTGTGGCAACCAATTGTTTAGGCTCCTGAGGACCAAAATACTTTAGTCTAACCCAAGTTACTTGATGCAGCACAAGGTTAACTAGGTAAAATGTAAAATCCGGGAAAAAGGAATGCAACTTTAAGTTTGGCTGAAAAATAAATTAAAACAAATATTTTCTTAGCTCAATTCCAAGATCCCAGTTGCTCTTCGACAAACTGAAAGCTATTCAATTCTGCTCCCTCTAGTGCAGAACTGTTCCTTGTGTATTTTTTTGACAGTGTGACAGACAAGTGTGAAAAAGGCAGAAGACGACAGATAAGAGGAAGCTTGTGGCTTTGTTTCTTTAAGACAGTGTCCCTCAAACAACCAAGATGAATACAAATCTCGGCTGTTCACGTTTAATATAACAGTTTTTGATGTTAACTAACATCTTTAGGATGAGGTGCAAATCCCTTGGTACTGTAAGTGGTGATGTGTGATTTCAGTTTGTTTCTATGTAGGAATCAGTCAAGTGAAGTTCTTAAAAAAAAATCTTTGCTACACATCCTGCTGGCAAATTGTAAACTCCCACCACATAACAAGTGCCTCTGGCTAATGGAATAAGGGTTCCTTCTCATCACCTAGTCCAGATGCTAGTGTGACTGTCCGTACTGGCAGCTGATTTGACACTGCAGCGTTTCTTCACAATCATGTTGATGTAGGCTTTCATGATCTTTATTATCTCTCCCACCTGGACAAAAAAATGAAAGGATGGGTAGGCAGATTGAAAACATAGTAGTTAGGTGTAGGAGGCACTTTGCAGAAAGACACAGTCACTGCCCTGAAGTGCTGGCAATAGATATGGGATACCAAAAGTGACAGATTGTGAGGGCATGGGATGAGGAATAATGGTGGGTTACAGCTCTGTGATTATGCAGTGACTCAATTTAGAAATGGACACAGCTTGGTAGGTCTAATGATTTTTTATAAATTACATTAAAAAACAATGTTTAAAACATTAACATTTCCAAAGTCAGGAACTCAAAAGTATAGGAAATGAGGCCAAACTAAGGTTGCATGGGCAGGAACCTTAACAAAAAGCAGGAAATGTAACAATACTTTACCCCTCCCTAACAAACTCCAGAATGATTAATTACATTACAGTAACTGAGGTTCTTTGAGATAAGCTGTCTACATGGATTCAACTTCTGTTCTTTCTGGGTGGACATGCACCCCATGAACTCAAAATCAGTCTCTTTTGGCCAGCAACATCCATTAGGGTCATGCTTGGGCCCCAGAGGACCTCATGCCCGAGGAATAAGGGCAGAGTGGTCAAACGGTCCCTCAGTTCCTTTGCCAATAAAAAATCCATATAGTATAGGATGCCATAGTAACAGGGAAGGAGGGCATGTCATGGAATCCATGAGGACAAAACAACTCGAAGAACCACATTTATTGTAAGTAACCATTCCATCGTCTTCGAGTAACTGTTCAGATGGATTCCACTTCAGAGGACTAGCCAGCAGTTACCTCAGAGTCAGGAGGTTGGTTCTAGGAGTCCTATTTAAACAAAGATTGCGGAACAGTTCTACCAAGTGAGCATATGATCATTAAGCTTGAACTAATGAATAAAACATGGCTCCTATGAACTGTATCCTTTGTGTCAGTGACAGTGTGGATCTTTCTCTGCCAATTTTGAGTCCTAGCTTCTTCCTCAGTGGTTCCAACATTTTCTGAGGATTGTAATAGTGAGAGCCCTGTCTGGTGGAGCTTTGGCAGTCTGCTTGGGGTGTCTTCTGTCTCATCTTACTAGGCACCAGGGAGGGTGCTATGTTCATCCTGGGAACAATGTGCCTTGCAACTTCTTTCTGGTGAGTTCTTGACTCTTCTGTGCTACTCTGTAGCTGAGAAGCTTGCTCTCTTTGATAAAGAATAAGCCCGGGACCTCTACATAAAATTATGGCTCATGGGAGCACTAGCCAAGAGTGACTGAGCAGGCTTGACAGGATTTTTGGCCTCAGGCTATGAACAGGCCCTCAATGGAGCACTCAAAAAGAAAGAGACGGGCTTCCCTGGATTGCTGTGTCCTTTTGGAAAAGGAGCAGCAGATTGAACACTGCCAGGGATCTTTCCCTTGCCAAGGCAGAACCTAACATGTCTATCAATGATAGATACAGCAGCTTCACAAGAGGGACAAATTTTAAATTCCAGGGATCTCGCCTCAGCCATAGCAACTAAGCATTATTACCAGAGGTTACCCCACCAATGTAAAAATCAGATTTTTTTGCCAACAGGCATTACATTACAACTATTAACTACACGAACTAAAACACACGAGCCTAGTAACTAATTGTACAGTGCGCAGAGTCAATGGACCCGGTAAGGGTTCTATCTCACTGTCACAATCAGTAAGAAGGAGCCAATGGATGGTTTGTCCTGCTCTGCCCTTTATGCCCTCAGGTGGGAGAGGAAGGGGAGCACAAGATGATGTATGGCAAAGGTGCAGCCCCAATTTTTAAATCTGCAGGTCTGGATAGCTTGCATCAAAGAGTTTTTAAAAAGCTGGGTTAGGCACTCGCTGGACCATTAATGGTGATTTAAAATAAGTTTTGGAACATAGGAAGTCGCAGAGGACCTGCAGAAAGCTAATGTTATGCGAATATTTAAAAAGGGTAAACGGGATGACCTGGGTAATTATAAGCCTGTCAGTCTGATATCAATTCCAGACAAGATAATTAATCGGCTGATATGGGACTCGATTAATAAAGAACTAAAGGAGGGTAATGTAATTAATGCCAATCAAATTGATTTTATGGAAAAGAGACCGTTAAAGTAACTTCATTTTTTAAAATGAGATTACAAATTTGGCTGATAAAGGTAATAGTGTTAATGTAATGGACATCTGTCGAGCATTTGACTTGGTACCACATGACGTTTTGAGTATAAAACTAGAAAGACATAAAATTAACATAGCACATATTAAATGGATTAAAAGCTGGCTAACTGATAGGTCTCAAAATGAAATTGTAAATGGGGAATCATCAATAAACTGATGTGTTTCTAGTGGGGTTCCACAGGAATCAGTTGCTGGCCTTATGCTATAACATTTAGATCAATGACCTGGAAGAAAATATAAAATCATCACTGATAAGTTTGCAGATGACACAAAAACTGGGGGAGTGGTCAATATTGAAGAGGACAGGTCACCGATGCAGCGCGATCTGGCTCACTTGGCAAGCTGGGTACATGTATACATCTAGGAACAAAGACTGTCGGCCATACTTACAGGATGGGGGGCTCTATCCTGGGAAAGAGGGACTCTGAAAAAGTGGGGGGGGGGGGTGTACGTGCACATGCATAATCAGCTGAACAGGAACTATCAGTGCGATGCTGTGGCCAAAAGGGCTAATGTGAACCTTATATACATAAACAGGGGAATCTCTAGTAGGGGCAGAAAGGTTATTTTTCCTCTGTATTTGGCACTGGTGTGACTGCTGCTGGAATACAGTATCCAGTTCTGGTGTCCACAAGTCAAGAAGGATGTTGTTAAATTGGAGAGGGTATAGAGAAGACTGCAAGAATTTGCCTTATAGTGATTGATTTAAGTTGTTCAATCTATTTAGTTTAACAAAGAGATTGTTAAGAGGTGACTTGATTACTGTCTTTAAGCACCTACATGGGGAACACATATTGGATAACGGGATTTTCTATCTAGCAGAGAAAGGTGTACCATCATTCAATGGCTGGAAGGTGAAGCTAGACAAATTCAGATTGGAATAAGGCATAAACCAGGGGTTCTCAAACTGCGGGTCGGGACCGCTCAGGGGGTCGCGAGGTTATTACATGGGGGGGTCATGAGCTGTCAGCCTCCACCCCAAACCCTGTTTTGCCTCCAGCATTTACAATGGTGTTAAATATATAAAAAGGTGTTTTTAATTTGTAAGGGGGTCACACTCAGAGGCTTGCCATATGAAAGGGGTCACCAGTACAAAAGTTTGAGAAGCACTGGCATAAACTTTTAACAGTGAAGATAACCAACCACTGGAACAATATACCAAGGGTTCAGGTGGATTTGCCATCACTGGGAATTTTAAAGTTAAGACTGGATGTTTTTCCAAAAGATCTGCTCTAGTAATTTTTGTGTGGAAGTTCTATGCGCTGTGTTATACAGGAGGTCAAACTAGATGATCATACTGGTCCCTTCTGGCTTGAATCTATGAATCAGTAGACAATGCTGGCCAAAAGATTTGAACTTGAGTGCATGTGCACCCAGAAGGAACAGCAGTGAATCCACATGGATCATGGCCTGAAGAATCTGAGATTTATACTTATCACAACTCCAATTTATACAGTCTCACAGATCTCACTGTGGTTTGTGCCAGCATCATTACTACTCAGATTCCTTGCAGGTGATCAGTATTATATCCCATTCAACATAAAAGTTAAAGGAGGAATATGGTACTTTGATTTGCCTGAAAGATTCTGGAAAGCAGAAATCCAAGGATTTTAAAAACATTAAACTTCTCTTCAGTTTCCCCAAAATGTATCTGTCTTCACACTCCACCTTGTGCTACAAATGGCTTACAGAGGTCTGACGCACTGATTTCCCTGAGGGACCACTCAGGGCAGGGATTCAAGGGAGCAGAATTAAGGTCACATGATTCTGTTGGAAGGGAAGTGTCACCTTACTGCCGCATTTCTACAATTCATGTTCTATTGGTTACTACTGCACTAATGGTCTTGTAGAGGTGATGTATGGTCACCGTAACTCTGCATTATTTTCCCATGTGAGTTGTTTTAATTGGCTTTTCGCATTCTGGAAGGGCATGAGAAGCATGGGGGACCAAGGAACACCCAAAACCATAAACTCCACATTAACAAAGTATTTTGCATGTTAAATGAGGTTCAGCATGTTTTTTTTCTTTCTTCAGGAAATGTTGGGCAGTGACATGGTTGAAAGGAAATCGAGCCCTCCTCCTCTCCTGCCCAGTTTCTACAGGAGGAGTTTTTTAATAAGGCAGGTCTCACTTGCAAAGTGCAAAGTTCAAATCTTTGTTTGGTTCTAGTAATTATTCAGAAATAATGGAATTCGGATAGTTACACTGTATGCACAGCAAGAACATCCTGTTACACCTACCTGGGAGGTTTCAAAGAACATCTCTCGCTCATCCACTGTAATTTTGAAGGTATTGGGTTGCGGAGCTCCAAAGAAAACAATGTGCTCATACTGGAAAGTTTCCAGCGATTTAGGATCTCCCCGTTTGTATACAGACACATTCTCTGTACTGACTCCAAGCCAGAGATCATTCGGAAATCCACCCTCCTTACACTGTAGAGAACAAAACACTCAGATTAACAGCAGTGCTCCAAATGGGAAATAAAACCTGGGGACACTCCTGCATTGCAGGTCTGAGGGCATGTCTACACTTTGAGCTGTGGGTGTAATTCCCAGTTTCTGGAGACATACCCATACTAGCTCTGATTGAGCTGGCAAGCTAAAAACAGCGGTGTAGGCCTGGCAGTGCAGGCAGAGGAAGGGGCTAGCCACCCCATGTACGTACCCAGCCGGGATGGTGTGCATGTACAAAGGGCAGCTAGGGCCTCCACAGCAGCACTGCTATTTTTAGCATACTAGCTCAGAGCTAGTGTGGATATGTCTCCTTGAGCTGGGACTTGCACCCCTAGCTCAAAGTGTAGACATATCCAGAGTCAAACTGTTGAGCAGAGGGGTTTGGAATGAACAGTGCAGAATATGTCTGAGCAGTCCCTCTGTACTCACTCATCTTTCCTTCTAATTCTGTAACCCTCCGAGGTAGATATCTTACTTGTTTAAGAAAGAATTAAAATGCATTTTTTTAAATCAAACATAGTGCAGGGCCTGAGAGCTCTTGCTCCCTCTGGACACCACAGTACTCCTCCTCCATAGGGGAAATGGGACTTCCACAGGAGAATCCTACAGCATCTCCTGCTGGGAAGGTTTAGGAGTGAGCCGTGAGGTCCCCCACATCCAGTGCTCTCACCTATCTCATTCAGTGCCTTCTGCTGCGAGAAACAGGGAATAATTTATTTTCACAATTAGAAATCTTTAACAGCAGCAATTCCTGCTCAGAAAAGCTTGGAGTGGGCCAGCTGCAAGATCCTCACAGCCAAAGCTCCTACCCCAATTTTCAGGGCTTCACATGTATGTGACACTACACCGAAATGCTGCTCAAGATTCCCTGGTTTCTGTGGCACTGCTGTCCTAAAGTCTGTGGCAAAATGAAAATTCTAGAGCAGATTAAAACAAATGTGTAAATATTCATAAGCAGTTATTTTACTGAAGTAAATATTATGCTGAGTAATGTAATGCACCATTGCCTGTATTATCTATTTAAAGACCTTCTTTGGAGCGTCTCCCACTAGAAAGGATTGGGGCTTTTTTTCACAACAGGTGATGGAAAATCATCTCCCTCCCTGTTTTGTACCTTCCTTTCTCACACCAGCATCTTCACGGGCCAGGGAAGGTCCCAAGTTTTCTCTCTCTCTTTCAAAGTGGGAGTGCTCTGATGGCGGAATCACACCAAGTGCAGTCAGGCCAGGGCCAGCGCTTCCATTTAGGCAACCTAGGCGGTCGCCTAGGGCACCAGGATTTTAGGGGGGCGGAATTTTGACGACCTCGGCGGCAATTTGGCGGCGGGGGGTCCTTCCACGCTCCAGGTCTTCGGCGGCAATTCTGCGGCGGGTCCTTCACTCGCTCCAGGACCCGCCGCCGAAGTGTCCCGAAGACCGGGAGCATGGAAGGAGCCCCCCACCGCCGAATTGCCGACGACGACTGGGAGCGCGGAAGGACCCCCGCCTAGGGCGCCAAAAACCCTGGCGCTGCTCCTGAGTCAGGCAGAATGGAGCATGTTAACAAGAGTTTCTCTATGCTGTCCAGTGTAAAACGCAACATTTTTCATCCCCAAGAATAACGCCTGCTTGGACAGTAGTTGTTATCTGAGTTTATATACCTCTCACCTCAACATCAAAGAGTGTTGAACCATAGCCTGGCCATTCCTTTACAATGGACATGTATTTCACCATAGCCTGGTGCTGAGACAGTCCCTGCAACTTGTTCCATTTCTGCACTATGCTGGCCCGAGCAGCTGAGAGCTCCTCCTTCACCCACATTTCCATCATCTGCTCTTCTTCCACCTTCTGCTTTTTTACTGAGCCAGTCTTGAAGCTACGTTTCAATGTTCCTTCCAGAAAGCTGGTCCGTCTCCTCTCCAGAGCATGACTGGTCGTGCCGCTACTCTTTGTTGACTGCAGGATTTTGGATTTTAGCCTGCTCACTGGGTAAATGCCATCAAGGGTCCAGGTGATTTTGGAATAGTCTCCATGAAGATACTGCAGCCTTAGGGCTGCCAGGTGCTGCAGTGTCTCCTCTGGGGCAGGAAAGTGCCCATCAGTAAGACTTTCATGAGCCTGTAAATGTAAAAAACAAAACAAAAAAACCCTCGTAATTTATGCCTTATCTGTCTATTTATGGTGCTCAACCCTGTGGTATCTGCCGCAGCACCTAGCCAATCCCAGCACAGAAGTGCATAGAATCAGGATATCTGATTAGCAGTT